CGGGGTGACACATGGCTGTGTCCCCTGGTGTCCCCTCGGCGCCGGGCACTCCGCAGCACTCACCTCACCCCTCGTGTTGCTCTTGTTGGGGACCCCCACCACGTACTCTGTGAGGGATGAGAGCCCTGAGCGCCCCTCTGGGACATTGAGGGGGGCACGGAGATACCCCCGGCACTGGGGTGGGCACAGGGATACCCCTGGTGCGACATGGGGCCATGAGGGCACAGAGATGGCAGGACCCCTGGCACAGCCTGCCCAGCCCCCTCGGGAAGGGGAGCAAGGTCATTCTGGGGTGCCCCAGGCCCGTCAAGCCCCATTCCCTGCACCCCTCAGCCCTACCTTTGGTTTTGGGGTTGCCATCAAACTCGCCCGCAGCCACCGAGTATCCTGCAGGGAGATGGGCACTGGTGACCCGGGGTACCCCAGCAGGAGCTGGCAGTGGGGCAGGGTGCCCGTGCCCGCTGCTCACCCCGGTACCCGTCCTCGTAGTCCCCGAACACCGGCTCCGTGGGGCGCCCGGGGCTCCCCAGCCACAGCAGGGACGTGCCGAGGAAGCGCCGGAGGATCTTGTCCAGCTCCACCGAGTACACGAGCCCTGGGCACAGCGGGGCACGGAGCACCAGCCCTGACGGGGCACCCGCTGCCACCCGCCCCAGGCTGGCAGCGCCACTGCGGGTGGCACTTACGGGGCGCCGCATCTGGGGTGCCCTCCCCGCAGTGCCCACCCCCGGAGCAACGCCAGCAGGAAGGACTCACCTGAGAAGTAATACCCACCGGGGGCACCCAGCACCAGCGTCCCATCCTGCGGGAGCAGCTGGCTCAGCACCCCCGGGGCACCCTGGCATCCCCCCAAAGCATCCTCAGCCAAGTGTCCCCCACCCCGGTATTTCCCCCAAGGTATACTCAGCCAAGTGTTCCCCACCCTGGTATTTCCCATCCTGGCACCCCCTCATTCCTAGGGCCTTTCCTCCCGGAATTCCCACTGCACGTCCCCAGCTCAGCATCCCCCGCCCTGACACCCGGGTACCATCCTGGCCGCACCCTCTGCATCTCTGCCAGCCTCCCCTGGGCATCTCGGGGGGCACCCCCCGATGCCCCCAAGGTGCCCGAGCCCCCCAGTCCCCTCTCACCGGGGTGGCAGCGGCGCTGAAGCCGATCTCGCAGTAGCGCTTGTCGTGCGCTGCGGGCACAGGGCAGGGTCAGGGGGACTCGGGGCTGGGATCCCGGGCTGGATCCGCGTTCGTTCCCCGTTCGTTCCCCGTTCGTTCCCGTTCCCCGCTCACCGTAGCCCGTCTGGCGGTAGGTGCTGGCCATGGTGCGGTCGCGGCACGGCGAGTACCACACGGAGCGCTCCGGGCTCCGCACGAAGCAGGTGCCCGCGGGGGTGCGGAACGCTTCGTGCGGCCCCTCCAAAGCGTTCCAGTGCTGCAGCGGGGCACAGACCTGGGCACGGCGATGGCACGGGCTGAGTGCCCACCCCGTGCCCACCCAAGGTGCCCACATCCCCCCCGATGCACCCACCACCAGGTTGCCGTGCCAGCTGGTGACGGACGCTCCCAGCCACTGGTGCGATTTGTAGGTGCGCAGCTCCAGGGTGCCCTGACTCTCGCTCTCGTCCCCTGGGGGAGCGGGACAGGGGCGATGTGCGGGGCTGGCACCCCCCGTGCCCGCTCCCCGCCCCGCGGAGCCCACGCACCCGCAGTGTCCATGGGCAGGGGGTGGCAGGGGGTCCGGCCGGGGGGCCAGGAGCAGAGGAAGACGGCGCCGGGCTGAGCCACGCCGGGCTGGGAGGTGTTGGCACGGGGGGCTCCCACCGCCACGCTGGGCCTGGGGGCACAGCGGGTGTCAGGGGGGGCGGGCGTGGGCCGTGCCCGACCCCGACCCCCGGTGCCCCCCTACCTTCCCTCGCTCGTGTGGAAATCCAGGGCGAAACCGAAGTAGCTGCCGGGGGGTCCCTCGTAGATGGTGGGGGGCTCCTGCAGAAGCCCCAGCGTGGGGGGCAGGCGCAGCCCCCCGAGGAGCAGCAGCACCCGCAGCAGCGCCATCGTCACTCCAAAATGTGGCCACAGCCGCTGTCCCGGGGTGTCCCGGGCTTATCTCGGGGGACGCAGCTGGGGCCGGGCCCGGCAGGAATGGGGAGCACAGGAAGGGCCCCCCCGGACGCGCATCCGCTCCTGCGGGGAGCCGGAGAGGTGCGGGGGAGACGGATTGGCTGGAGCAGGGCGGGGAACGGGAGGTGGCAGTGCCACCACCGGGGGACACGGTGACAGGGTGGGGGACACGGCCACAGCAGCCTGAGCCTATCGCCTGCAGGGTGCCAGTCTCGGGGGGGCTATTTCGGGGTGCCAGTCTCGGGGGGGCTATTTCGGGGTGCAGGCAGTCCCTACCAGCGGAAATGTGGCAAGGGGGGAGAGCTGCAGGGCACAGGGCCCCTCCATCGGCCCCGATCTGCCCTCGGCAGCCGGATGGAGCTGACAGCACCGAGCCCGCCCGCACCGGGCATCACCCCCACAGCGTCCCCTAACCCAGGGCAGGGACACCCCAAACCCTGCAGGGCTGTGCAGGGCAATGGCTCTGGCAAGGGGCCGGGGGCAAGGTGGGCACAGTGAACAAGACGTGTCCTTGTCCTTTGTCCTTGTCCCTGTCCCCTGTGCCCTCAGCCAAGCCTGGGGCACCCGCGGGGGTCAGCCCGGCCCGGACAGCGGCGTCAACCCTGCAGAATTAATGGAAACTCCATTAATTAAGGACAGCCAGACTGCCCCGGGGGCTCCTGGTGCCAACCCAGCGCCCATGGCCGGGAGAGGCCCCGGAGCAGCTCCCTGGGATCCAGCCCGTGTGAAATGGGGCTGTCTCTGAAGCTTTCTCCTGTCTCTGAAGCTGCAGTGGGAAGCAGGACAGGGCATGGACTCGGGGGGTTTTTGGGGGGCACAGGGGGTCCCTGGAGGGCACCTTGGCCCCTGGAGTGGGGTCTGCTCCAGCCCTGTGGAGCAGCTGCAGCTGGAACAGAGCAGGATTTGCCCAAAGCCGTGGCACAGCTCCGCAAAGGACACCGGGCTCAGGGGCAGCTGCTCCTCCTCGGGAGGTCTCGTCCCCAGCTCGCTGCAGCATCTGAACCCAGCTGGAGAACACCCCAGAGCCCCTGAGGGCAATTACAATCCTTTCTTCTGTCCAACTACTTCATTTCCAGTTTCTTTCAGCACTGCTGCACCATCCCTAGGGCAGGTGGCACCCTGGCTCTCTCAGTCCTGCTGGCATGCAGAGGGGCGGATTTTTTCCTTTAATCAAACCAGGAAAAGAGAGGCTGGTGCTCTGCATGGCAGCTCCCCACCACCACACAGCATCACAATTCTTTTTCCACAAATCATTGGTTTATTAGAAAGGTTTTTTTTCCCTCATTTTACAGCATATATATATATTTATATATATATCTTATGTGACAAAGTTAAATACAGTCTGTTTATGCTTGTAAGTAATGACAGGTTAATTATTTTAGCGCTATCCTGAAGTCCAAAAACAATCCCTGCCCACAGTGCAGTGGGGCCAGGGCACAGATGGGCCCTATGAAGCTCAGCTCTGACAGTAACACTGAATTGTCTGGTATTTACAGGAAATTGAGTCCCTTTTTTGTGACTGCTGTCACTCTGACCTGCTGCAATTCTCATTTACACGGTGAGGGAGCTCAGGGGGGTTTGATCCTTTGACTCTGCCTGGCCTCGTGCTGCATTCCAGGGAAGAGGATGAGGATGGGGAATGGGACAGGGATGTCACCACATCCCCTCACTGCTCTGAAATCCCTCCCTCCAGCTGTGGTGGCCCAAGGGCTGTGACACCTGCAGTGCCACCTGAGCTGGGTGATGCCGGGAGAACTGGGAAATCCCTTATGGACTAAGCTGGGGTAACCCTCTGTGTGGGCTGGGAGCAGTCCCAAGGCTCCACGTTACTGCTTCCAAAGAGGGGGAAAAGGAAAGGACAAAAGGGCTCCTATTCTCTGGGAGCACCCTGAATTCCTGCTGCTCCCCAGGCTGCTCCAGTGCCCATTCCTATGGCAGGGAGGAACACAGAACCTGCCAGAGTCACTGCTACCCCCACACCCTCACCTCGCCCAAGTCTCACCTGTTGACTTTTTTTTCTTCTGCAAAATTCTAAATGAAGATTCTTTTTTTGTTTTTACATTTTATACTACATAAAAACTTCAAAAATACATGAGCTTGATAAAATATACATGCTTAGCTGTTCTGCATCTAGCTGAAACTATAAATTGAACCTTTACAAGTGTCTTGGGTCACCTACAGCAAACATATTTACACAGAAGCCACCAGAACAAGTACCACTAAGAACTGGCTGTAAAAAATATTATTGCGATATACTACAAATGTAACCTTTGATAGGAGCTACAAAAAGCAGCATCTTTGTTTACAGAGTTCAGTGCAATTCTTTACATTAAAAAAAAAAATCCTATAAATTAATAAAGAAACCATCAGTGTTACAGAGGAAAGAACACGTTTTACATCCAGGCCGCGCTCCCCCGTCCTCTGTATTGCTTCAATTCCTAAAGGATTTGCCTTCCCTCTCCCATCCCAGTGCCTCTTTCCCAACCCCACAGAAGATGGAATTCAAAGTGATTTTTTTCCCCCTTTCAGGAGAAGAGTGGTCAAAGCCCAGACTGGAATCCCAACCCCAGAACGCCTCTCCAGTCTGGGATATCCAGGCATGGTCCTGGCGCAGGAGAACGTGGATGCAGGATGGGGAAGGAAGGGAGCTCTGGGCACACACACAGAGCTCCTCCTCCTCTTTACACTAAGATCTTAATTCCACCTTTGCTGCTCACACCAAGAAAAACCCACATGTGCAGAGACAGGGGCCAAGGAACCCCCTGCAATGCTGAAAGCTGAGGCCTCCAGCCCCTCCACAGCTGGCAGCGCCCGATGGTCTATGACCGATTACAAGCCGGGTTCAATTCGTGCTATTTTCATTAGATGACCTCATTAAAAGGATTTTTAGAGATCCTATTAGTGTGGATGAAACCTCATTTATCATATACAAGGTGGCAGAAGGAAGATCACCAAGTGTAAGAATCCAGGGGGGAAAAAAAGCCTTTCCAAGTGTCTCACTGTTGTAAAGGTGAAATGGTTCCTCTGGAGCGGTGCTGCCGCGTGCATGGAGGAGCTGGAGTGAGACTTCCCTGGGGTGCAGCCACCTGCCCAGCCCTCGAGCCCCCGGCTTCTTTGGCTGCTCAAGAGTGAAAGGAAATGCTCAGGCCTCACCTGCCCGCTGGCTCGACTCCAACCCCTTCCCAAAACGCCAAATATTCTCCTTCCTCCGAGGTTCCTTCATTGTGTCCTTCATGTGCCGTGGCTGGGTGGATGCTGCAAGTCCTGTCCTGAGAAAATGGGGTGCAGCAGGGGGTGGAGGTGCAGGGCTGTGGCAGCAGCAGCAGCTGCCGGCCTGGGAGCCAGGAGGGTCGGGTACAGAGCGTGAGGGACGGGGTGGAAGGTGAAGGGGCCAGGGTGGATGGCGGACGCCGGAATGATGTGGATGGGGTGGCTGGCCAGGAACGTGGCGGGGTGACCCGGAATAATGGAGTGGGTCAGGTGGGACAGGGAGATGGGTGTCAGGTGTGGCTGGGGGATGTGGTGGACCTGAGCGAGGGGCTGTGGGTGGGGATGGGGGTGGATGCCGATGGCGGCGGCAGCAGCAGCGGCGTGGTGCTGCAGGATGGCGTGCTGCACCGTCGTGATGGACGTGGCCGAGGCTGCTGCCGGCTGCTGGATGTGGATGGGCTGGAGGGCAGGGGCGGCCGGAGCCAGGGCGGCCGAGGTGGGGAAAGCCTTCACTTGCTTGGCCAGCAGCTGCTGCTGGATGTGCTGCTGGGCAGCCTGCTGCAGCTTGCTGTACTTCTCCATCTCCTCGGGCGTGAAGGTGATGGGCTGGCTCTCCAGCGGGGCTAGGGAGGAATCTTCTCCCCCCTCCCGATCTCCTTCCATGCTCGGCTCCCCGCTCTGAGGCACGTAGCCAGGAAAGTGCTCAACATCTGGAACTAAGGGCATCATACTGGTTTCCACTGGGACTGGCTGGCTGCCCCCGTCCATAGGCTCCAGCCCATCACCATCGCTGGGATCCGAGAGGAAGTTGTGTGGCATGACCAGATCTCCAGAGCCAAAGCACTCAGGGAGCGCTGGCGTGTCCAGGGGAAGGGATGGCATCTCCACAGAGGCTTCATCACGTTTCTGCTCATCCAGAGGCTTGTCCTGAATTACCATCACCACATCTTCCAGGAGAGACTGGCCGGCCAGCTGACCCTCCTCCATGCCTTGGGAACCATCCTCAGCATCTGACAGCTCCTGCTCCTCGCCCCTCTCCAAGCCAGACTCCTCGTATCTTTTGGAGTTTGGTTTCCGAATGGTTGGCAACTTCCCAATTAAGGGCAGAACCGGTTTGTTGCCTAAGGAAGGAGGCAGTTTGGGGCCAAAGTAGCCCTGGGGAGGATCTTTGAGCTTTATGCCCACTTTGTTTGCCCCTGACAGCATCTCGTCAGTGACGCAGGGCTTCTTCTCAACCTTCCTGGACTGCACCTTTTCCAAGAGCAGCTTTGCAGTGACGGAGTTCCTCTCCTCAGGACTGCAGTCCCCTTCCGAGGCCCGTCCCACGCCAGAGCCGCTGCTGTTCTGGGACAGGGAGCCAGATCCTTTCAGATCCTCTCCTTTGCCATCCTCCTTCTTGGGCGGCGCCGCTTCACCTCGGCCTGTCCGGAAATAGTGAGGAGACTGCGAGCGATAGATCTTGGACCGAATGAAGTCCCTTCTGCCAGACCTTCTCTCCTCGGGGCTCTCGTGGCCCCGCGAGCCCTTCCGTGACGGGGACCGCTGCGAGTGGCTGCGGGTGCTGCGGCTGCGGTCCCGGCTGTAGCTGCGGCTGCGCTTCCAGCTGCGCCCGGTCCCGCTGCGGCTCCTCCTCTTGCTCCGGCTGCGGCTGCAGCTGCTGCTGCGGCTCCTGCCCCGGCTCCTCGATCTCGACCTGCCCCGAGGGTGGCTTCTGCTCCTGCTCCGACTCCTGGACCTGCTCCTGCTCGAGCTGTAGTCATCTTCCGACGAGGAGTACTTGCGCCGCTTGGAGCGGTGGTTGGAGCCGTTGTAGTCGGAGTCGTCCTCGGAGTCCTGGGAGCGCTTGGAGTGGCAGCGGGAGCGGTCGCTGTAGTCGCTGTAGCTGTCGTCCGAGTAGCTCCTGTGGCGGCTGTAGCGGCTGTGGCCCGAGGAGGCCTCCGAGCTGCTGGAGTAGGACCTGTGTGAGGAGCGCCTACGGCCCGAGCGGGAGCGGCTGCGCGAGTGCTCGCTGCCCGACTCGTAGTCATCATCGCTGTACTGTGATGGGGACTTCTGGTGGCAGTGCTTGCCAGGGGAGCCCTCGTCACTGTCGTCATCACCGCTGCTCTGCCGGCTCCGGCAGCCGCCCCGGGGCTGGGACAGAGCCGGGCAGCGCCGCCTCGCTCCAGGCACCTGCTGCAGCTCAGCCTTGTGCCTTTTGCTGCCGTGCTCTTGGCAGGAGTTGCCCCCGTCCTCTTTTTTAGTGCTGCTTCCCTCCTCGGCAGACAGGGATTTCCTCTGGGACTCCTGGGAGCATCGCTTTTTCTTCTGGAAATGGCTGCAGTCTTCAGACAGTTCAGGTTTCAGTGCTCGGTCTGACTCCGTTGAAAGGGAGGATTTACCTTTTTTGTGCCTGTGCCTTTTCCGTTTCTTGGGTTTCTCTTCCCCTAGCTCAGCTTTCCGGGCCTTCTCCTCAGCTTCCTCCTTGTGTTTGCGTTTGTGTCTGCTGGACTTTTTGTGCTTCTTTTTCTTTTTGTGTTTATGAGACCTTCCAGATTTACTCTTCCCCGTTACACTCTTACTGCCGTCCTCCCCCTCTCCCTTACCGATGCTCCCCAGACCGGACTCCTGCTTGCTCTGGGATTTGTTTTCCATTTTTTGAGCAGAACTGTTCTCTACACTTTCAGCCTCCTTGGCTTTGCTCACCTCACCAGGTTCTGTGCTCTGAGCGTTGTCCTTACAAAGCCCCCCTGGATCCTTGGATTTCTCTGCCCCTTTCCCTTTTGCATCCTTGTTACGGGAGAGCTTGAAGTCAAAGTACAGGGGGTTGCAGCTGTAGGACACAGAGGGCTCAGCTTTGGTGAAGATGAGCAGCTCTGAAGGCCACTGCAGTGTCGTGCTCTCATCCTTACTCAGAACAGGGAAAAAAGGTCCCGTGGGGTGCTTTGGTCCCTCAGAGCCATCTCTGCAGCCCGAGGCAGGAGGAGGAGCTTCTTTAGCAGTGTCTGGCTCGGGGGGATTGCTCTCTGGAAGGTGCTTGCTCTCCTGTGTGTTCTCATTCTCTGGGATGTCTTTTCGTTCTGTTTTGCCCTGCTGGGCTGCAGTTTCAGTAGTCCTCTGTTCCTTCTGCTGCCCCGTGCTCTCGGCAGCCTTTTCCGTGTGCTTGCTGGGTTTGGGTTTGGGGGAACTCCCCTTTTTCGCTTCGTGCGCGTTTTTTTTGTTCGCATTTTCCGCTTCCGTTTGCTCAGTAGCCTTCATGAAAAGCAGGAATTGAAAGTTGGGCTTTACTTTACAGTGGGCTGGGGGGATGTAGTGGTAATATTCTGGTTCCACAGCTGTTGGTCCATCTTCTCGCCTCATCTTCTTCAGTTTGGATAAGGTGCTGGCCAGAGCCCCGCTGTCCTTGTCGTGCTGGTCATCATCCTCCCCCTTGCCATCAGAATTATTGGTGCCTTCACCCTCCCCAGACTTCTGCAGGCTGCCACCCTCTGAGGACCCCCTCTCATCACCTTTTGCCCCATCTCCAGAACTGGACTCGTCCACGTGGTCCTTGAAAACAGAAGCGATGGTCTCCAGCTTCACTGGGGTCTTCTTGGCAAAGGAAAAGGACACCCCAATCTTCTGCAGGGGAGTTCCCAGGGAGCCCTTAATGCCAAAGCTGATGGCCTGTGCCCCCTGTGCTGCCTGGCCTGGCACCACAGTGCCTTGCCCAGTGTTCAGGAAGCCTCTGTCCGTGGTCATCTCTGTGCCCTGGCCAGAGCTGGTCTGGACGAAGGAGCTGCTGTTGGCTGCAGAATCATCGTCCTCTCCACCTTCCTCATCCACAGCCACCGTGGTGGTCCTGAACATGGGCCCACTTCCAGGAGCACTGGAACAGGGGAGAGAGAAAACACAGCTTACTGGTGTCCCTGTCCCTCTGCAGGAGGATCCATCCCTCAGTGAAGACAATCTTGCACCCAGCACATGCATTAAAATATCAATATACAGCCACTCAAAGTTTTTCATAATATTAAATTACTGAAGAAAATGTATTGCTGGATAAAGCAATTTGGGGATGCTCTGCATGATCAGTTCAGTGAATTCACTTCTACCAAAAGCACAGCAGTGTGAAGCTTTGCCCTCAAAGCCTGTGCAGTATCCCAGAGCAGGAATGCCAGCCCAGCCCAGCCCAGGGGTGCTGGGACCCCCAGACTCACCACTCAGGCTGCCTCCTCTGCTCTGCCAGCTCGTGCAGGCGCCGCAGGGCCTTCTCCTGCTTCCTCTCATCTTTCCGGGATCTCGACGACACATTGCGAGCAAATTCCCTTTGCTTGAGATCTTTCAATCTCTGAGGCAAAAGAAAGCAGGGATGGATCAGATCAAAGCTATTTGTCGTTTGTCCAAGAGCAGCTCTTTGCTGTAGCACTGGAAATTGCAGTGTCAAGCCCCTCCCCAGGGACATTTCTTGAGCCAGGATGGAGCAACAGCATCTTAGCTCAACAAAGCCCATGGAGCACTGCCATCCTCCCAGCAGCTGAAGGAAAAGACAACTGATGGTCACTTTTGGCAATGACTTCAAGTTCTGTGTATACCCCTTTCCAATCAACACTACTGGTTTTCTTTAGCATGGACAACAAAGCTGATTTCGAAGCAACAAGCAAATTCTGGAAGGAAAAGGGGAAAAGAAGGAGGATTGTTTACTCTGCTGCTCTTGCAGCGTGCAGATGTACTTGACAAACAGTGCATGACACGAGTCAAAAGCATGGGCCAAAGGACAGGAGGGATTAGCTGGTGCCAGAGCTACCCAGGAATGACATCTGACAAAAGCAATGTACCATTACATTGGAGAAGGAGCCAAAAATCCCATGCAAATGATTTCATCAGCAAACCCGGAGTACAACATACACCACAACCAGTTACTTGTGTTCCTGACAGTAGTTCTGAGAGGGTCAAGAAGCAAACTGCTCTAAAGGCAGGAGGGTCTCTTGGGGTTGAATACTTTGTGGGGGCAGAAGCACCAAATTCCCCAAAAATCTTACCATGAGGGAGCAAACCCAATCCCAAGGAATTTCAAACATCCTAATATTCACTGAGGAAGTCTAGGTAGCCAATTCTAATAGAAAATAAATGTCCAAGACTTCAGAACATTTTGGAAAGTCCTTGTCTCAGAGTACTAAGAGAAGAGGCTGCTGGTTTTTCTTGAATATATGTGGATATTCACAACATTTTTTTTAGAGTGCTCTACAGAAGTTTAAGAAACAGAAAGCAACAAAGACAGACCTCTACCATCCTAAAGAGACTCACTGTTTTTTTTTTAAGTGCACAATTCAAAACCCTTTCAAAGGGCCCAGCTCCAGAATGCATCCTGTACTCAGCTTTTGGGAGAAGTTTCATGTTTTTCAGGCATTTCATGCAGGGCCTGGGAGACTAACGAGACTCAGAGCAGGAGTCACTTTGGAACAATTCTTGTACAGGATGTACAAATCACTGGTGAATTCTAAATACTTCTGGCTGGCTGACTCTGCCTCTTTCCTGGAGCAGAGTCAGGCTGCCACACACAGAAACAGTGGAGCTGGAAACCAACCCAAAGCTCAAATTAGAGGAATTAAGCTGGCCCAATGTAAAGAGAACATTGCTTTGTGAAAAAGGGAGAGATTGGACAAGACAGAGGATTCTCTTACCTAATTGTATTTACTAAATGTGGTTGATTGTTACCAAAATCAGAGGGGAGGACACACAAAAAAGATACAACTACAGACACCAGTAGAAAGAAACTCACTCTTGTGATCTGGACTCCCAAATTAGAAGGGTTTGCTTTCAATACATCAGCTGAAAACGTCACATCACAAAGAAAAAAAGAAAGTAAAAATATAACAAGAGTGGAAGAGAGGAAAAAAAAAACCAAAAAACCAACAAGCAAGCATGACCAGAGAGCTGTGGGGAGTGTGCCAGCTACTCTACAGAGCAGGGGCACGGGAGGAGCCACGGTCTGCAGCAGGGACACACGGACACGCACGGACACAGCCATGATCCCACCTGGAACAGCAGAGCTACTTTCACCAGGACAACTAAAGGGCTCAAGGGTTTTGTGGTGTATGTTAAATGTTGAGGAGGAAATTTTTTTTTCCAAGAGGAAGGAAAAAAAAAATAAACTAGATGGACTGAGCAATGCTATCAGCTTTTTCATGCTGATTTTGAAAGAGTGTCTGAAGTTACAGCCACCAACAGCTGACAAAACTATTTAGTGGGGGCTGATGCCAAGGCTCGAGATCACTCACCCATTTGGAAAAAAGTATGACCCAGCTATTTACACCAGCCATGAACTGTGACCTTTTCCTCCCCAGAGGAAGGTGCAATGGTGCACTCAGAGCCCCCTGTGCCCCAGGCATGGTCCTGATCACCCCCAGGACACAAAGTGGGCTCAGAGCTGTTGGGACATGCAGCTGCCCCCAGGCTCTCCTGCCTCCATTACATGGTGATTTGAATGCAGACAGAATTGAATTCCCATTATTAAATGCTGACCTCTGTGTGTCTCTGCTCCCCCAAACCTCCCACTCTCAGCACTTCAAATTTAGAGGTGTGAAGCAAATGGACTACCCCAAAGCACTGGAATCCAGAAGATGCACCACAGCAACTCCCAGCTGCACCCAAACCTGGGCCCTTGAGGCTGACAAACCACTGGCCCTGGTGTCAAGACTGCTGAGAATTTGGTACTTCTAAAATTGGGGAAGAGTTGGTCTGGTTTTCAAAGGACCAAGAGATCTCAAGGCTGAGTTTCTTTGTGTCACACAGGAGTCAGGAGGAAAAAGAGTCTTCCTAGAGAAATACAGGATAGAAAAGCTCTCAAATGCACTGTGCCAGCTCCTTGGAAATGCAAAATACTGAACAGAACACAGCTCAGCTTCTCAGACTGACCTAAACCAACAGATCTATAACCAGAAATGACTCCAGGTGTGCCAGAGACCTGGCTGGACTGCATTACCTTCCCTAAATGCACCCTGGGGGAGGGAAAGGGGGAAAACAGGAGCCCACACTGCTCATCTGTAAGAACAACCTGCTGCAGGAACGAAAAATACCCAGAACTTTTCAGAATAACCTGTAACTCTCCCCTCACTGTTTCAAATCCAGGGATTCATCCCCTCAGAGTGGAAAACCAGTTCACTACAGCCATGCCCACCCAGCTCTCCAGTCCTGACTGGAAGGAGCAATCCAAAGACAAATTCACCAGGTGAAGGAGCACAAGGAGCACTGAAATGCTGCTCACACACTGCCAGGTCTCAGCCTGCCCAGGAAATCATCTGAACTAAACAGATATTTAATAATTTGAACTAAACAGATATTTGAGCTCAGCTTACACTAAAGAAATTTCCATCTAATCCTGAGGAGAGTGTTATTCTAATCCCCCAAAAACCACTAAATGACTTTTTGGACCACACCAAATGTGTGGGTGTGAGTGAGGCTGGAGGTGCATGGAAGTGCCCCTTCCCCAGCACCATGGAGAAATTCCAGCAAGGATTTAACACAGCCACTCAGCCATCCTCAGGGAGCTTCTCCCCTTTTGGGGTGAATCCTCCCTTTTTAAGTCTTCCCATTGTGCTTAGCAAGACAATGATTTTTCAACAGGATTAGAGCCAAACCTGTATTAAATCAAACACATGCTTCATGTTATTACAAGATTTCAAAATTAAAGGGCATTTTTTCTCCCTGGGCAGTGTGTTTTCTGAGGAAACAGCAGTTTATCCAAGCAGCAACACCCTTTCCAACTGCAGGATCATGGGGACCATAAAGCCAAGGAATATTCTGCTGGTTTATTACTTCAGCAGTCACAAGGGCTACACTGCAGTGACCAGCAGTGACACAAATCACCAGCACTTACATAAAATTTCTCCAAATTTCCACATACTGTAGGCAGTAGTTCACTACCTCCAGCCTTCCTGGGCTCTATCAATAGCTGCCACCCCCCTCAGCTTTGGAACAAAGAATTGTATTTTAAGTTTTCCTAACAAAATTCCAAAATTGTCTCTGCATTTCCACAGGAGTGCAAATTGAGTTCCTAAAGAGCAGATTTGGTATCAAATCTGCAGCACAGAGAGCCACAGAGCTGGATTATCTCTCAATCCCTGCGTGCCTCAGGAGAGGCCAAACTGGCAAACACCACCAGCACCTCCCAATTCTCACAAATCAGCTTAAACCAGCTGCACCACAGCACTGCTGGAAAGCTCCTGAGAGCCCAGCCCAGGCTCAGAAAGGGGGGAAATCCAGGGGGGTGAGCAGGAGTCAGGAACTGATGCAGCAGGAAAATCACTGGATCATCACAGGATGTCCCAAGGATCCTCCAGTCCCAGCCCTGGCCCTGTACAGACACCCCAACAATCCCACCCTGGGAACTCTGTCCAAGCCCTCCTGGAGCTGTGGCAGCCTCAGGGCCATGGGAAAACTCAGCACAGCCCAGACTGTGCTGATGAGGTGGTACCAGGTAAGACTTCCCCAGAACCCAGCTGGGTGCAGAGCTGTGCAGGCTCAGGACCAGCAGCAAATGGATTTTGGATTTTCTCCATTGAAGCTGACAAAGCCACACAGCATCACTGAACTGAGGCCCACTGAGACACATTCTTTGCCTAAAAGTGCAGAGCAGAGAGAGCCCCTGTTATTCTCACAAGACAAAAGCTCTGTCACCAGACCTGCAGATGTGAGACTTTCATGGCAAACCTCACACTGAGCTGGGTCAAAGCAGATCCACCTCTGGGGCTGCAGGCAGGAGGCAGCACCCAGGACATCAGAGCCCCCTCCTCCCTTGCCATTGTTCTCATGTCTCTCTGCCAACCCACATTAAATAAAATAATACTAATAATAATAATGTACTTTTCATTCTGTGCCAGCAGATTTCTTGCTTTCTGAACTTTTTGATGTCTGCTTCTTTGCCCCAAAAGCTTTTGGGAGTGAACGACACCATGAAACAGAAGCTCAAAGGATGAGAACCTTGATCATTTTCCTGAAGGGGGAACACAAGCCCGGCTTATCTTTGGTCATCAACATTCTTTGCACGCTTATAAATGAAGTGAAAAGAACAGAGGGGAAATGGCCTGCAAATGCTGCTTTATTTCATCTTAATTTCCTCCCTGGAAGAAATTAATATTTTTGTTAGGTGGGTTAGGAAAAATATAGAATGGGTTGGGTTGGAAGGGACCTTAGAGATCACCCAGTGCCACCCTCTGCCATGGCAGGGACACCTTCCACTGTCCCAGGGTGTCCCAGTGTCCAGCCTGGCCTTGGGCACTGCCAGGGATCCAGGGGCAACCCCAGCTGCTCTGGGCATCCTGTGCCAGGGCCTGCCCACCCTCACTGGGGAGAATTTCCTCATCATCTCTAACCCAAACCTACTCCCTTTTCAGATAAATCCATTCCCTTTTGTTTTCTCACTCCATGCCCTTGTCCAGAGTCCCTCTCCAGTTCTCCTGCAGTCCCTTTATTGATAACTGGTGGTTTTCTGAGGGCAAAGCATTTCTGGAGCAGAAGAACCTCCCCTGTACCACCAAGTACCTCAGGGATTCCCTCCTGAGTCTTGTCCATTCAAGCTTGGAGGCCCAAGGTTTTGGGAATCTCAAGTCTCCCCTAAACACAAAGTTCAGGGTTTGCTTTCAGAGTATCCCTCAACCCCAGCAGTGACTGTCTTGGTAATTTTATTGTGCTTGAACAGATCCCTCCCTCTCAGCATGAGAAGCAAAGATGCAGCTAATTAGGGCACAAAGAGAGCTGCACATCACATCTCTACCTTGAGTTCCACCCTCCTTCCCAAAGAACTTTATGGAATACACTCCCTCTGCCCTTTTACAAAGAGAATCTAGGCAGAATTAATCACCTACACCTCCAAAACACCACAGACTTAGGAGAAAAACCAGCTACATAAAATCTGCATTTCAGATATTTTCCCTGGTTTGTGTTCTCCCAGGGAACCTGGCACAGGTTCACTCAGAACACGTTTGTTTTTCACAGGCAAGGCAGAAGGGGAATGTTTTCATTCTGCTGGGTCAGTGACTCAGTAAACAGCTCCAGCCCTCAGCAGGCACACGAGCAGAACGAGGTGATGCTGGGAGATTCTCCAAGTTCTGGGATTGTTAAAAACCCCCCACAGTAAAGGCTGGCTGTAAATGCTACAGAACTTACACACAAGGTAATTCCAACCATAACTCTGCAGGCTGCCTCAGGTGCTGGGCCCTGCACATCCAGGTTTACCTGACAGGGACACAACCCAGACAAGGGGCTCACACTCCTCTGCACACAAATCTAACACGAGGTTTTTATCTTCATGCCAAAACCTCAAAGCAAATAAGGAGCCCTCACAGGTGCAATGCCTTAAGGACACATTCCCACCGAGTCCAGAGTGTTCTAGGACTAGCAGCTGCCAAGGGTCAGGACATTGTGCATCTGCAGGAGAGCAACACAAAAATCACAGACTGGTTTGGCTTAGAAAAGATCTAAAGATGACCTTGTTCCACCCCCTGCCATGAACAGGGACACCCTGCACTATCCCAGGTTGCTCCAAGTCCTGTCCAACCTGGCCCTGGACACTTCCAGGGATACACACTGGCTCCAACTTCACCACCCAAGCTCCTTCTTAGCTGCAAGAAGTTTTCTTTCTACATTTGCCACCTTCTGTCTGTTAATAATAGTTAATTATTACTCTGCTGGCTGTCAGGACTGGGCATCATCAGGAGTGGGGCCCTTCATAATCTACCAAGCCTTCAAGATGAAAATCCTACAGCTAAAAAAACACCATTGAAGACATCAGCAATAAGAAGTTGTGGGATCAGCCTTGCCCAGCTGCTCACTGCAGGGTGTGTGAGAGAACTGAGCTCATTGTCGCTCCTGCAGGGCCACCTGCACCCACTGCAGCTGCCTGCAGTCCCCTGAGAGGGACAGGCCATGTGTCCAGAGGGTGACTGCTCCTTCAAACAGCTGCACTTCTCATCAAGTATCAGCCTAATTAAAACCAGCTCCACAACAACACTGCTCACTTCCACCACAATGCCTAAAACATGCCAGTGGTTTGGGAGAATAAATGCAAGGATCTTTTCCCAGGTAAGGAAATGCTGCCTTTTGGAGAAACTTGGTGCTGAAGATGATTCAGGTGTAGCCAAATAGTCTATAAAACCAGGACAGGAAGTAAAGAGAATAAACCTCCCCTTTAATTGTTTGGTGTTGACACAATTTTGGTGGGTCCAAAATTCATCCGGTTGGGATCGATACACTTACCTATCATCCCTGTGGGGCAATAATCCCGAGTTCCTTCCTGGAATACAAGACAGTGTCTTTATAACTCAGGTGTGGAAAGGGATCTGAGGATGGAACATCTATTTACAGGGACAGCCTAATGCTTGCAGAGCCACACAGGGATAACCAAACACTTCAACGTCAGCGGGATGTGGAACTAAAAATACTTAAAAGCAAAAATGCTGTGGAAACTGAGCCAAGAAAAAAGCAAAAACGAGCTCTGTTGCCTCAAAAATTACCACTGAGACAACAAAATCTTGCAGATGATGTATACCAAGCTGGGTTGTTGTAACTAAGATACTGTAATGGCCTTTCTTTCCAAGAAAGCCAACTGATGCCCTACTTTTAGGCAAAAGTTCATGTTTTTCCTCCAAAACTTCAAGCTCGCCTTTCTACAACCTCACCTTCTTGTGCAAAGAGACAAACCATAAAACATCAATGTGCAACATATCAAAAGCACAGCTTGTTTTATTTTTTAACTATGTTAAAATTCAGGCTGGACTGCTGGGTGTGAGCCTCCCTGGAGCAGGAGGGAGCAGAGATAAAGTTCCTTATGCAAATTCTCTTCATTCAGTGATAATGTTCCTTATGCAAATTCTCCTCATTCTGTCTCAGGGGTTTCAAGTTCACTCCCTGAACGCTGACCCAGCGGGGTCACACACATTTCAGCCCGACAAAGCTGGACAAGCAATTTTTTCCCTAAGCAAAGCATGATTGCTTCTTTGTTTAAATCCCTCTGTAACTAGAAATTAATGCTGGGTGATGCAGCCAGAGTTTGGAGGCTCATTTTCTCCAAAGCCTGCCTGAAGTGACGGCAATAGATGGAATTATCCAAGAACATAATTCCTCTCTCAAAATAATCAGCATTACCAAGCAACCTCCAAATTCTTTCTCCTGATGAGATGACCCCACCCTGTGTGCACACAAGACATTTTTCTCTCAGGCCACTCCTGCTGATGAGTCCTTTTACTGCTTTCCACAGGTTGGTTTCCTCCTCCACAGCATCTGCAGCTGCTGGAAGAGCTCAGAGCCCGGCCAGGCTCATGTCAGTGCCCCAGCAGCTCATGGAATGCCACAGCTCAGCACACCAAGAATGTGACACAAACAGGTCCTGCCACCTCCCACAAAATGCAGGTCACTGCACCTGGGTTCCAGCCAAACTGATGGAGACTTTCCAAGGAAGTTCTCTGCTCTCAGGTGTCACCACTGAGCTTGGCCAAAACCACCCCTCTGCCCAACAACCAAGGGAATAAATGAATTTCTGCTCTTGATTCTACCAAACCACTCCTCTTCACAGAGCCCAACTGCCCTGCCATGAGAATTCCTGACCAGACTCCCTTAGTTCAAAGCAGATTCTCTGTCATATTCTACACTTAATACACACAAACAAAAATCATACTTGATTATACAGCCACATTCTTGTTTTTAAGCTGTTTTCACTGCAATTTTGCAAGCCCTACAGCACATCCTCCTCGAGTTACCAGCATTTTGATGATTGTGTTGTTAGAATTTATGACTAGGAACATCAAACTCCTCTGAGCCCTTCCAGCCCTGGAGGAGCCCAACACTGCTATCTGCTGTGCAGTTACATCTCATTTAGCAGCTTAAATGGTCAAACAGATCAGGCTAACACAAGAACTTCCATTACTTACTGAGCAGCATGAAGCACCCTGCAGACACTACAGTACATCCCTAGCTTGGGAAAAAAGCCAGCTCCACTCTGAACCCACCTTCTCTTGAGAATTACAGAACTGGGGAAGTGCTCCTTTCTTGGATTCCTTTGACACAGCCCCATTATTTCCTAGTCTGTTTTCAGTAACTCCACAGAACACAGACTCAGGCAGTAAAATGTGGGGAACCAGCACTCCCCAAAGCTCTATCAATGCTAAAAGCAAGCTGGGAGCCATCCACCTCCAGGTGTACTCTCCTCAGTTTTACACCAGCACAGTTTTATCCCTCAGTTTTATGGGTCTTTGAGAAATGGGGCTCCTTGATGCCACCCATAGAGAGGGGCTTGGGGGTCTTCTGTTGTTTTGTGTTCTTAAATGAATGATGAGCATAAAAATCTTCCCCAGAGACATAAAACACCTATTCCAGGACCAGTAAGGAGAACAGATACACCAGGGAAACTCCAGGTATTAACCACAAACAAGACCACCACAATGAACAAAAAATGGATGAACTGTGCTGTCTACAACTGGTTACCTGCTTGTGAGCATGGTCATAGGAATTGATGTGGTTGTCAAACTCCTGGTGCTTCTGATACTGCTTGTCACAGAGTTCACAGTAGAAGTTTGCTCTGAGGTCTTCCAAAGCCTTGGCAATGGCCTTTTCTTTATCAACATAATCCTGAAAAATGAATAAAAAATTGCTTCTGTTAAGTGTCCTGTAGAACAGCCTGGAAGATGATGGATAAGGAAAAATAGTGCTTAATAAAAACTTTCTGTACATTGATTATATTTATTACAGGATCACTGAGGTTGGAAAACACCTCCAAAATCACTGGGTCCAACCTGTGCCCAACGCCCACCTTGTCCCCAGCCCAGAGCCCTGAGTGCCACATCCAGGCCTTCCCTGGACACGCCCAGGGATGGGCACTCCCTGGGCAGTTCCAAGGCCTGACCCCGTTTCCATGGGGAAATTCCTGCTGTGCCCACCCTGAGCTGCCCTGGCCCAGCCTGAGGCCGTTCCCTCTGCTCCTGTCCCTGTTCCCTGGAGCACAGCCCGACCCCTGGGCTGTCCCCTCCTGGCAGGAGCTGTGCAGAGCCACAAGGGCCCCCTGAGCCTCCTTTGCTCCAGGCTGAGCCCCTGCCCAGCTCCCTCAGCCCCTCCTGGGGCTCCAGACCCTTCCCAGCTCCATTCTGGGCACTCTCCAGCCGCTCCAGGTCCTTCTTATCATGAAGTGCCCAGGACTGGACACAGCACTTGAGGTCTCACAGCAGTGCCAGCTCAGGGGGCAGTCACTGCCCTGCTCCTGCTGCCACCCCAGTCCTGGGACAGGTGACATTGGCCTCTGGTACACCTGGGCTCATGTCCAGCCTCTGTTGAGCAGCACCTCCAGGTCCTGTCCAGCTTTTCAGACATTTTCCCCCACCTGGACCCTCCCATGGGGTTGCTGTGACCCCAATGCAGGTCCCAGCACTTGGCCTTACCAAGCTGAGCAGCCTTTGCAAATTCACAGGTGAGTTTCCAGAACTTTGCAATGCTGCCAACCTCAGTGCTATTTGTTACCCACAATCACAGAATATTCTGTGCTGGAAGGGCCCCACAAGGACTGAACAGCCCCTGGTCACGGCAGAAGTGCCACTTAAAGAAGATTGCTCCAAACAAGACCTGCAGGGGTGATGGGTGAGGCAGCTCTGCCTCAGGGAATTGTCTGTGCCCCAAGGAGAGGTTCAAAGCCTTCAGCTAACCCAGAGAGCATCACTGGCATCAAACCCCGGAGGATCCCTGCCCTGGGAGCAGAACCTTACACCTCTGAACTGACACTGCTCCATTTTGAGTGCTAAGAGATGGCTGCTTGATCTTGGCTTGGCTGCCTGAATTCAGGAGAGAGGAATATGGCCTTGGCTGGGAATTACCCTTCAGAGCCTGCTGAGCCCAATCCACTCCAGTGAAATATTGCCAGGAGCAGAAGTGTCCCTCAGGCTGGGCTCAGACACTGCAGAGGGCACAGGGAGCTGCATGAAATGGGAGTGAGGGAGGGAGACAGCCCTGGGTGCTGACAGGGTCTTTTCCCTTCTACAACTGAACACCTGCACAGGTGGAAAAGCAAACCTCAGGCAGAGATGAGGTGTCTCACCTGGCAACAGCCACATCCTTCCCTCTTTTGTTCCAGCTTTTGAATATGCACTGAGCTGTGGGACTGGGGAAATCCCAGTCCCTCAGGTGGCTGCACTGGCTGGAAATCCAGGTGTGGAAGGAGCCCCAGGGCTGCTGCACACCTGGGGGGCTCTGAGACACACCTGATGCTGGGACACAGCAACCTCAGGGTTAGGCAGCTGCTCCCTCTTGCCAGGCTGTATCAATTACAACCCCCCCAGCAGAATTAATAAAACATCACCACTCTTCACGAGCTCTCTGGGGAAGTTTTACCCTGAGGAGGTGGAAGGTTTTACTCAAAATCAGCTACAAATGCTGCATCACAAAGCTCACTGCACTCACTGCAGCACTCCCCATAAAACCATTGACCACAGGCATTTCAACTGGAATAAAGAGAAATTATATAAAAAAACAGCCTAACATTAGAGAAAAAGCACTTAAGGATCTTTTTTTCCATCTTCAATACAATCTCCTATGGGAAGCTTCCTTCCTCAGCAAGAGGAGGCAGCAAGCATTTAAGGCAGAACACTTTGAAAGGTTTTTCCTTTGAATTTCAGATCTTGTTCAAGGCAATGTGGTTTATCTCCTAGTTACCACATCAAAATGGCATTAAAATAACATTATCAAGCGTGTTTTATATGATATAAAATTTATATTAAAAAAATTCAACACCCAAGGAGAGGAAAAAATATATCTAAAAAATATTAGTGCTCATGTTTGGGATTGTTTTCAATTTCAAGCACTGTTCATTCTACATAAAAAAAGGAAGCAACTTCCTGCTTCCATCTATTACCAGATGCCCTTGACAAGGAAAAAAAAAAAGAAAAACATCAACAAATGAGGAGTTTTGAGCCTGAGGCAGGTCCCCAGGAAGACAAGAAAGGAAAACAGAGCAGCGTGAGCTGCACAGAACACGGACGTTCAAAGTTCCTCTGAATCCCAGACAAGCTTCCTGTGCCATGTGTGGGTTTTTTTGAGCAAGCATCCTGTGGCTAAACAATGAAACTCAGCCATTTGAGTGATCAGAATTTCTACAAAAGAAGGGAATTAAAGCACACTTCTTGGCTGCAGAGTTATCTGAGGCTCCCTGAATGGCTGATCAGGATGCACTGCCATCAGCACTTACATAATGGACTCCTGTGGAGCAGCAAAAAGTAATGGCTGTAGAGATTTTTCACAGATTAATACCAAAATGCAAGGGGATAAGGATGAACTGAGCTTATAAAAACCCACTGGAGCTGGGAGAGACTGCTACTGCTCCAGAGCTCCTGAAAAAACCTGTGCTGGATGAGGGAAGGAAGAGAAAAGAGTCTCAGAGCAACAGAGGTTGGGCTGTGTTGGGAAAGATGATTGTAAACCCCAAGAACTCCAGGATCACAAATTGGTTTTGGTTGGGAGGGACCTTAAAGCTCACCCAGTCCCTCCCACTAGACCAGGTTCCATCCAACCTTCCCAGGGATGGGGAATCCACAGCCCCCCTGGGTCCCCAAACACCTGCAGTTCACTCAGCAAGCAAGTCAAGGTCTCAAGAAAAAAAAAATAAAGAGGAGAGGAGGCTGTAAATTTTCATAGCTGAACAAACTGCCTGAAGAATTAACTGTTCAACTGGGGAAATGGAATTTTAGATTTGCCGAGGTTATGTTTAATTTTAATGGTATTGAAACTACTTTCCCATTATTTCTCAAATAATTAAAATTTATGCAAGACTGACGCTTCATTTGGATGTCTTGGGCTCTTCCTCAACCCTGGTACTCCCCAAATCCCTGGACAATTGAACAAGCAGGCTTTCCTGAGAGCTGCTGGACTGCAGGGCAGGGAAGCAGAAGAGTGGATTAAAGGATGAGCAGAGCCCATGTCTCCACAGAGAACCTGGTTACAGCTAATCCAAAAATGCTCCTGCATGTCACGCTCAATCCCAACACCACAGCTCATTTTTATCAGCCTCTGGCTTACAAAATAACCCCACAGGTTTTGTAAATCACATAGAAATACAGAATTTATCTATATTTCAATGCTGCCTGAACAATTCTTCCAAAGAGCTCCAGCCCATTGATTTCTCCAAGCTGGAGCCATGTGCCACCTTTCCAAAGCAAGCAGGATTTATGCAATAACATCACAATGAACTGCTCACTCCTCACTCAGAACAACACAAGAGCTCCTCCTCCAGCTGGAACTGCCCCTCTACCACCTGCAGGCTTTGTCCTGATATGGCAGGCTCACTGGAAAAATCTGTGGGGAAGGAAATGTCCTGCTCCTTCCAGAACAGGAGCAAAGCATGTGGAGAAAGCCCTGCTGCTGTCCTGGGGCTCTTCAGCAGCCAAACAAACAGGAAGGTTGATGCCAGGAGTGAATAATTTTAATGTATTAAAATATAAATCACCTCCACAGTGACCAAACCCACAGTAGTGAATCCCTACCACCATCTCTGCAGCAGGATGAGGAGAACTCAGCCCCATCAGAAGAGATCTTTTCCCAAGCAGCCCACAGACTCTGATGTTGATGTCCCTCTCTCTGTACCTTGTACTTCTGCCTCAGCTCCTCAGTGTCCTCCTTCTCCACCTCCAGCACTCGCCTCCGCTCCGTGGCATCCTCGGCGTAGTCCAGCTGTGGGAAACAAAATAAAGATGAAATTTGGACCATAAATACATTGCAATCAAATCTACCAGAAAACACAACTGAACAACCTCAGCTGAAACAGAATCTATGCAAGCTGTACTTTGCTTTCCCTGCTTTGTCACCCCAAGTGTAAAACAGGGTTTTACATCCCCCTAATGTAGACAGCTCTGGCAGGCCCATGATAGCTTTGGGAAGGGGAAATCTCAAAGCCCAGGGATTTTGGGGAGCATCCAGAGCCCAGAACAGAGGCTCACAGGGATAAACAGAGGATGCATTTTGCAGACAAGGGTGTATTTTGCAGACAAGTGTTTTCTTACTGCACTGATTCGAGAGCAAGTTGTTCTTTGTACAAACTCTCACTGTAAATGCCTTTCCCTCTTGTTGCAGACATCTTTTCAGGAAAAATCCTTTCCTTAGGATTTTTTTTCCTCCTGAGAAGCTGAGAAGCCTCAGGAACAAATGTAAACAATGGTTATCTGCTGCTGTGGAATGCAACAGGTGCATCTGGGATTGGTCTCATGTGGTTGTTTCTAGTTAATGGCCAATCACAGTCAGCTGGCTCAGACTCTCTGTCCAAGACAGAAGCTTTTGTTATCAATCTTTCCTATTCTATTCTTAGCTTAGCTAGCCTTTGGATGAAACATTTTCTTGTATTCTTTTAGTATAGTTTTAATGTAATATATATATATCATAAAATAATAAATCAGCCTTCTGAAACATCAGTCAGATCCTCATCTCTCCCCTCACCCTCAGACCCCTGTGAACACTGACACAATCCCCAGAGCCCTGCAGGGGTGAGGGGAGCTCACCTCCATCTCCATCCGGCCCATGCCCATGACATCATACTTGACAACGATAGGGATGGGATCTGTCCTCCCTGGAAGAGGAACACACAGAGAGGGGTCAGCAGCAGCCCAGCACCACAACTCACTGTACACATTGGGTTTGGGTGGTTAGAGATCTTGCCTTGGAGTGCAGAGACCAGAAAGCTACAGTGAACCAAACACGAGCCATTCTCACAGCTTACAGCCAACCCTGAGCCCAGCTCCCACGGCACCCAGGGTGATAAATGCATTTTTGTCAACATTAACCGCTCGTGTAAAAGCTCCTCATGGTTAATGTTCCCCCATGACCAGCCCTAGGGCAGGGCTGATAACAGGACTTGAGCCTTCTCTTTAAGGCTTCCACATCAGGCTCCTCATCTTGCCTAAGAGTGAAGAAGCTGCTAATGACATTTCACTGCTGCAGCTCATGAATAATCGATTAGAACTTCCCTGTGAGAGATGTGGAAGCCTCTCTCCCACCAGCTTTTGCCCTCCCCAGGAGCAAGGAATGCTGAGGAGAAGCCAAACTTCCCCCATCCCAAGCAGCCAGCCTGGCCAGGGGTGGGTCCCTGCTCCCCCAGCCCTGGAGCACTGCTCTGGCCCTGCTGTGTCACCTGTAAGCTGTGAAAAGGACTGGTTGCGAAGAAAATTGACTTTGAACTAATCAAACTATGCTGGAGATTTATTTTTTTAAAAAAAACGTATCTTTAATCCACTCATAACCAGCCAAACAAAGCAAAATGGGGCAGACAAGCACTTTACTACCACAGCTTTTTTTTGTTTTTTAAAAATTATTATTTTGATTTTTTACATCACAACTGGCACTGGTGGTTGTGATGTAACCCACTGACAAAGTACTTACCTTTTCCAGTGCAAACCTTGAGTGAAAAAACAGAATGTTTACTTCCCTTATTATTGCTCTTGTTTGGTGTAAACAACTCTTTTGTTATACACACATACACAGGTATTATACCTTTGGGCTAAAAGATTGACACGTTGGAGTCATGCCAAAATATTCCACATGTGCAAAGGGGTAAAGTCTTTAAAACTGCCTCAGAAAACCTGGATAGGTGTGAACTCTTTGCCAGCATCAGTCATAATTCCTGCCAAAATCACAGCCCTAGAGGGGCTTTTGAATCTTAAAGTAGAGACATGTGGTTTTATTCCGAAATAAATCCATTTAATTAATTGTTTTATGCTTTTGTTGATATGCCCAGGAATTTGATGGGCAGGTATCCATCAGGTCCAAAAGGAGTGATCGCATTGATCTGAAATGGTTTGGACTGAGCTTTCCTTTGGATATTTAAGGCTCATCTTTGACAAGGTTTCTCTTATGCCCAATGGTATAATACAGTAAGCAGTGACTGCAATTTTTAGCAAAAGGACCAAATTAAAGACAGGTTATAAAAATGACTTCCTAGGTGCAATATCACTTTCATAACGTCTCAGCCAGGGATTTACTGGTAAGTGGTGAACCCAAATGGAATGGCTGGCACCAAGTGCCAACAATTTATTGTTCAAATTTTTTTCAAGTTTTTTTCTTTTTTTGTTTTGGTTTGGTTTTGGGTATTTTTTTGTTTGTTTTTGTTTTGTTTCTCCAGCAATTGAGATCTTTCCACGCAGCCTCATTGGCCTGGTAAACCCCTGTACACAAACAATGCATCAGTACTTTTGCCTTCTAAGGCAGTCAAAGTTTTTTGGATTTTTTTTTTTTTAATTCAAAATCTATTTGGAAATTGCAGTAGCAAGTGCTAGTGCCCATCGTGTTGGGGGAAAAAAAATCAAGTTTGGACAGTATTAAAAATTTATGTTTAAACTGATTTTGGCAGTTCTAACACAAACAGAAACATCCCTTCTTAGCAATACCCTTTAATGAACAAGGATCAGACAAGTGTGCATAAAGAAAGGAAAGGAAAGGAAAATGAAAGACCAAGCAGAAGGATGATGGCTACAACAGAGAAAGTAAGCCTAACATTGGTGCACTGATGACAAAGGAGTAATTCAGTCTGAAAATAAAAAATTACCACTGCTAAGTTTACCATCACCACAACAAGTCCAGGATCATAACGCTGTAAAAAAGAAACACCATTTGTTAGGCAGAAACCATTAGGGGCAGAAAATAGGCCATTGGGCAGGGAGGATGGGTTAAAAAATAATAACAGGAGGCTTCTTGCTCACCCCTCCACCCCATGACCGTGCTCTGCCCTGCAGAACCAGGAGCCACTGGAGCAGCTCTGACTCCTGCTGGGTGCTGGGAGGGCTCCTGGTGATGGCCCTGCTCCAAGGAGGATCTGAGGCACATGGAAGCAGGCAATTTAAAAAGGAAACAAATCAGGATCTTAAGGAATAACAAATATTCTGGGCCAAAAGGAACTCTGCTTGCAGGGAAGAGGAGAATATTCCATGCAGAAAGCGATGCCTCTATTTGAAACTGAACGATCATTTCGTTCTGAAGGGAACCTCATGGGTGACATCCAGGTGACAAGTGGTACATCCAGGCATGTAGCACAGCTGTGGCAGCAGTGCCAACCCCACATGGATCCCCTGGAGCAGCTGGGGCAGCAGGACCTGCTGCTGGGCACTGGGGTGGCCTCACTCCATGTCCACACGATAGGGACAGGCTCAGGGCCACCCCTCGTCCCTGGCTGCAGGTGGGACATGCGGAGCAGCCACAGGGGGAATGGGACTCTCCAAGCTCAGCTCATGGCTTCTCCTTGGAAGGAACTTCCTCAAGGAATGTTTGTCCTACTGCTGGCCATGACAACAGGATCTTTCCCAGCAGGTGAACGTGGCTTGGAGCTTGGGAGCCTCCCAGGTTTGGGGTCCCTGCTGAGCCCTTCCTGTCCCAGCAGCCTTTGAAAGGAAGGTGAGCTTCCAAGGCCCAGAATTCCTAAACTTCCTGCCACACAGCAGGGCTGCAAGCAGTGCCACATCCCAGGGCCAATCCTGCTGTGTCCCTGGCCCAGCCCCCTGCACCTTGTGCCATTTATTTTCTTTTTGAGGCAGGTCACAAACTCCTTCACAGACTGGGCACTGCAGACCCCAAAGCAGAGAGGGTTTTTGCATAAAACACTTCCACACACAGGGAAAACCTCATGGAGAGGATAAAGCAGCAATCTCCAGCAGGATGGAAAAAATAAACAGCTCACACAAGAGTCACACCTTAGAAAACCCAATCTCAAAGGAAATTAGGTTAGTAATGATTCCCTGCACTCAGAAATGAAATGAGATTCCCAAAGTGACCTGCTGTACCTGTTTTGCTTTCCTCTCCCCAAGAAATGGGAAAACCTTTCTCCCAGCTTGTGAAAAACTGCTCAGACCCAAACAAACCCTGAGAGCCTTCCCTTCCCAGAGCCCTGCATGGCAGGAGCACTTGGCCAGGCAGGATTCTCCACATTCCCTTCTGTTTAGCTGCATAAAGCTGCTGGATATGAGCAAATACTTCCCCTCTGGTGCTATAAATGAATAAATCCTAGGAAAATTCATCCTAAGGCTTTGGTATCAGACACAGGTCATGCTGCATGTGGAGGGCTGTGGGTTCAGGGCCATGCTCTGCCTCTGGATGTGGCAAGGATGCTGCTCTGCCCTCTGGAATGGGAATGTCCCAGCTGGAGCTGCCATCTGAGCCTGCCTGGCAATGCCAGCATTGTCAACACCAGCCCATGTTTGATCCTGTTTTTAACAAGCCAAAGCAGAAAACAGTTTTCATCAGATTTGCAGATTCAGAGGAACTCCTTCCTCCACAAACAGCATCATGGCAAGAGAATCCCAGAATGGTCTGGGCTGGGAGGGAACTTAAAAACCAGTTCCTCCATGGAACAGGGACACCTTCCACTATCCCAGGGTGTCCCAGTGTCCAGCCTGGCCTTGGGCACTGCCAGGGGTCCAGGGGCAGCCCCAGCTGCTCTGGGCACCCTGTGCCAGGGCCCCACCACAGTCACAGGGAAGAGTTTCCTCCCTATATCCAACATAAATTGATCCTTTATTTAATTTACAACATCTACTTCTTGTCCTATCCCAACAGATAAATTTCTCCAATAAAGGGGCATTCAGATATAACAAAATGGAAAAAAAGTACCTCAAGAATTCTATGTGAACATAATTCAATCAAATCTCCTCCACTGTGTCCCTTATGCAGCACAGATGGAACACAAGAACTGTAATTCTGTTTGTTCTGTTGACATCCTCATAGAAATTCCCCCCAGGTACAAACAAATCCTAGAGGAGTGATTGATATCACACTTGTCACTGAAGGAGAATTTCATAAACTCAGCATCTCCAGAGGACACAGACAACAACATCTCATCTTGTTGGACATGGAGGATTTCTCCTTATTTGTTATCTTTAACTGAACCCCACAGTGAGACACAACCTTCCAGGGGCCTTCAGCTGCTCCTGCAAAGGGACTCTCGCTCAGCTGAGGGCAGGGCAGGTTCATGAGCACAGCACAGAGTGGGTAAGGGATGCTTTGTTCACTCAGCACAAACCCCACTGCAGGCTCTGCAAGGGAAACAGGTGCCTGGAATGAACAACCAACACCTGGAATGGAGCCACAGGGCCAGGGCTCACCTTCAGCTGCACTGTCTGGGAACAGGGAAACAGGGAGGAGTCTCTGTGCTCATGAATGAGTTGCATTTTTAAAGATGAGAATTTTGCAACACTCAACACTCCCAGGACTGTTACAGCATGGGGGGCTGGCTCTGCTTCCAGGAACAAGGGACAGGACAAGAGGGAACAGCCTCAAACTGTGCCAGGGAAGGTTTAGGTTGGATATTGGGGAAATTTCTTCATGGGAGGGGCTGTCCAGCCTAGGCAGAACCCAGGAGTCCCCATCCTGGAGAGATTTAAAAGCTGTGTAGAGGTGGCACCTGGGGACAGGGGTTCGTGGTGGCCTTGGCAGCACTGGGCTCCCTAAGAGTCTGTGAGAAACCAAGTGCTGTCCTGTTGAAAATTCAGACTCCTCATTCAGTAAGGGGAGAGAGGAGAAAATCCACTCATTTTCACTGATGCACAAGCCTGGGGTGCTCCTCACTGGCTAAAAGTGACACCACATTATCAAACCCACCCCAACTGCTGCAAGAAGCAAATGAACAAACAAGGGCAAGCTTTAATCCCTGTCCCCTTTGGGAATTAGATTTGTGAGCTCATCCTGTTTATGTCAGATTTCTGGAAGGGGTCAAAACAATCAAGAGATTCAAACAAAGGTCCCTCATCCTTGGTAGCAAACAAAGTTCCAGAGAGGAGAGAGTGTTTTCCAAGAACACAGAAACTGCCCTGTGAATTTAATCCTTACTAAGCAGGGGAGAAATGAGGAGAGAAAGTCAAGTTGTAAACATCCCAATCACATGGAAAACTTCCAGTGGGAGCTCAAAACTTTGCAGAACACAAACCAAGGATGCCACTTGCAGAAAGTCAAGCTGAGGTTGGACACTGAGGCAGAAAGCAGAGCTCCTTTTGCAGGGGAAGGAATGTAGTGGAGTCTGGGTCAAAAACATCCCTACCCCAAATGCTGGGCAATGGATTAAAGACAACAAAGGAGTTGGAGCAAAACCACAATTCCTGGTTGACTGAGGACAGGAATTCAAGGTAAGAGCTGCTGTCTGTGTTCATCTTGGTAAGTGGACAGGGCTGAAGGGGCTGCTGTGATTCAGGGCTGCACTGAGGAGTGAGGCAGGCTGTGCATGGCCACTGCCTCTCCCAGTTTAATAAAACTGTTCTGCCACTGCACCAGCACAAAGGGCCAGAGTGCCCAGCCAGACCAGGGCAGTCTGTCACAACAAACACTGAAAGCACAATGACTGCAGATCTCACTGGCCACACCCACTCAAGCAACACAAACTCACCACCTGTAATCAAGGGAAGGATCTTACACCTCCAAAAGCAAACAAGGGGGCACCTGCTTCCCCCAAAGGACACTGAGGCACTGAGCAAACTTCCTCCTTGGTCTGTGGGCTGCTGGGTTTAACACAGCAGTGAAGATGGGAATGATGACAGCAACCACAGCAGGCCAGGTTTCTCAAGCTAAGCTCACATGAAAACATCACTCAAAACCACTGCTGTGATTTGTGCTGCAAACACAAGCATGGAAATGCTCCTCCATGCCAGGACTGAGGTTCCTGTGAGGACATGTGAAGATACCAGAAGACAAGAGAGTGATCACAGCTATTTCTTGGTAAGACTGCCAAACCAATCCATACCTAATGAATAAAGGCACTGTTAAGCATTTTTATCCCCCTCTCCTGTGCTTTCCTGTATTTATTACAAAGCTCCAAAACCCAGAAAGAAATGTGACACTCCTCAGCCCCTCAGATGCTCATTGTTCCATGTTCACAGGCCTGACAGCCATCCACCCTCTGCTCCACGAGATCAGAGCAGCCAACAAATGGAAAACACATGAATATCTGAGCTGGGGCCATTTGGCGAGCAGGTGACAGCACCAGCATTCAAAACCCTGGAATTCAAACCCTGAGCTCATTTCTCCAAGCTGCAGCTGCCAAGTGATCACATTTGTGACTGATCTCAGTTGCTTGAGTGGTCAGAGCTCTGTTTATTGCTCCCCACAGCCTGAGAATATCCAGCAAAGGCAGTGCCTGCAGCCACCTGGCAGTGCCCTGGAATGGGGACTCAGATCTGGCTCCATCTCACCCCCAGGGGCTGCCAGGAGAGGACATTTCCTGCCTGAGCCTCACCTGCAGCTCTGAGCAGCTTCCAGCACTTGTCAGACACTTCTGCTCTTCCACCCAGCTCAGCCCTTGGAGCAAGAGGAATGTTTTCCCTTTTCTGAACAGATTTGGGGAGGAATGTGCCAAAGAACTGCACCACAGTGATGCTGAGGCGGGGAGTGCTGACTATATTTATCCTCACAGAATTTGCAAGTCAGAGCACAAATCCACTTGTGCTTTTTCTTTTAAGTGAAGACCGTGCAACAAAAATACAGCTTGATGGAAGAACTGGATTTTAGCATTTGCTAACAAATTTGCTATATCTGACTTTGCTAACTAGCTGGATGTACTCATGAAAGAATAAGAACTTTCTGTTAACTGCTGCTCCCTGTACCACCAGATGATTT